AATAAAAACTCATAAACAGTTACACAAGCACACCCACTGTGCTGTTTTTCAAGCACACCCTCTTTACCCACATACCCATGAACCTCTTTATCAATGCAACCCAAAACACACTTTGTTGAAGTCCATACTATAATTTGCATTTGCACCAGTCCCATGTGAAAATGACATCTGTCTGAATTTGTAGACCACATCTCATGAATGTAGCAGCACCATTTAAATGTTTCATAACACAAAATATAAGTGAGTAGCATTACAGGGTTACACTCAGACGTGCCACATATGAAACATGGTCTTCAACATGTGTCCATGTTTATTTTATATTTTATTGTGTCAGCTTGAAACCATACAACCATGTAGTGTAGTCGAACAGGAATGTGCATGGCGAATCAAATCCCAAACAATACATGAACCAATGAGTGACACGTCTTGACTGCACTTCAATTTCTTGACCACTAGATGTCCTACTCGAGCACTGTGTCATTGAAGCCTCGAGTAATGAACCATTTGTGTGAACACTGTGTCAAAGCTTCAACAAAGCCTCATCGGCCATCACTAGTCCCAACACCTCCGGTAAACTAAAGCTTATTCCACCTCTTAAAACAGTATTTTTTGGTTCTTCTAGTTCTTCTTCTTCTTGAGTTTTAATGGCAGACTACAGACCAACGTAAAATGTAGATGCCGCCACCTACTGAACCAGAGTGTAATATCATGGCTTTATGAGCGTATATTTTATGTATTAACCCAGTTATTTCTAAATATCTAATTAAAATCTATTGGTATCTGTTATTCTTTTTCATCCTATCTCCCAGAGACCTTTAATACTTAATTAAGCCAAAGTTTGTTTTTGTCTTGACCAGTAATGTGAGCAGCAAAATATTACAAAGCAAACTCTGAAACCTACAGGCTTGTAGTATGAGACTTGAGACAGCTTTCAGATGAAGAGGAAGAATTAAAGAATTACTGAGGTCTTGTCTTAAATATAAACAGAAATTCCACACTGTATTATACACTGTATTACAAATAAAACTCCTGCATTTTAAAAACAATTTCAGAAAGTACAAACATACAGTATCATGTAAATAAAGCATCAAACATAAAAGTAGGGTATTCATGCATGAATGGTTCATTCATATGGTGTCCTATATGCAGCATTTTGAGCTAGATATAGTGAATATTAAATATAATCTTTTTTTACTCCATACACTTATTCCTAGTTAAAATCTGGCGCTTATGCTACCCACAGTCTAACTCAGAAACAAATGACACTGACTCAAGTGTCATCACTTAAGGCTGCTGACATCAGAACTCCCTCTGAAACCACAAAAGGATTTCTCTGTAGCCTGCCACTTTTTTCACATGAACTAATACAATTTCCTAAGACCTGAAAAGAAATTTTATCTGAAAAACCAAATTCTCAACAATAAGGGGGAAGAAGTAATAATGTGAGTATTGTTTAGCGTTTTAGTAATTCATTTCTTTATTTATAATCATCATTTATTCTCCTGAATGAAAGAGTTGTTGAAAGTAATTTAAAAATTTACTTAGCTAAAAACATAGCAGCCTATCTCTAAAGACTAAAATGAAACGTATCCTAATGTTGGCTGTTTTTTTTGTTTTTTTTTACCAATATGACTTTCAATTTAAAGGCATAGTAACCTATATCTACTGCACAATGTGTGTCCATGTAGTGGTAGATGTACACCCTGAAGCGTCTTAGTTTACCAATACATAAAAAAGCATACACCTCGTCTCCTTGTTGACCGTCGTTTCCATTATTACACTGCGCTTTGTGTGATGGAGGTGTGAGCAGCGACAAAGACAGACAGAAGGAAACAGTTGTATGAAAGGTGATTAGTGCCCGAGGGATTGGAAGGAGAAGCCCTTGTGATAATGATAGCGACAATCACTTTTATTGGCCAAGTATGTTACACACACACAAGGAATTTGTCACCAATACATCTGCAGTGCCAACGCACACACAGCCAGATGGCACTGAGAGCAACTTGGGGTTCAGTGTCTTGGCCAAGGATAATGGAATATGTGGACTGGGGAGGATGGGAATTTAACCACCAACATTCTAGTTAGGCGACAACTGCTCTATCCTCCTAGATTAAGTTCCCAGAGACTTACCCTTACCCCAACCATGACGTGCCTAACCTAAAAGTGTTTTTGTCCCTTTATTCACTCACTTTATTCAGAACCGATCATTCTCTATTTATTTATTTAAATTCTTGCATACATTAGATAGTGTGGATTCAGCAAATTGTGCTTTTTTGTTACATCCATCCCCAGCTAATGTTACAACTCACCCCAGTAGTGGGTAGGTTGTAACAGAACTCTGCATTTGATTTTAACTCACATAATTTGTAATTGTGTACTAGAGGTCATCCAAGTTAGTTTTATTTGTAGTAGGCCAATATGGGTACCATGTATCAAAGTATGAAAGATCTAGCATAACCAGCTAGTGATGCTCAAACAAAAGGTGTTACAATCATTCCCAGCATTCCCTACAATGAGAAACAATGACCTTTGGTCTTTGGCCTTTCTTAGCCCAGCCAGTGCTACACTATCAAAAGCATGTTTCATTAAAATGGCTACATGCTAACCATCAGCTTGAGAGGCCTATGCAGCAGCAAATCTGAATTTAACTAAATAAATTACACTTCTAGCATAAGTTCACTTATCTGAATGTAAATAAAATGATTTGCTGCAACAGATTCCCTGCCATGCCCACACTATTTTAAACACCTATGCTGCAATACAAAGTGCTGTAACTCAACCCTCTTTTCATGGGTTCAACACTTTACCGTGCCATGCCCACACTATTTTAAACACCTGTGCTGCAATACAAAGTGGGTTCAACACTTTATCGAAATCTAGTATACAGCGGATGACGTGATTCCCAGTAAAACGTTGTCTTCTGCTCAGACTACCCCTGGCATTAAGCACCCCTCATATCTACGTACTTTGTACACTGAGGGCTATGACTCCATGTCTGTGTATGAGGGAGGATGCTGAGAGCGAACCAAACCTTTATAGACATCAGTGCTCAGTGACAGTGTGTGCGTTGTTCTCCTCCGCTCTGGATGGTATTGGGATTTATTTTGGAAGCGGGGTCGGGCAGCGACGACCCACCAGCATCACCGCCGCTGAGCCTGACATGAATGACAAGTAAAAGGGTTCTTTCAAGCGAGCAAACAGCACAGGAATGTGCACAAGTCTTTCTGGGCTGCACTCAGTCTTCTAAAAGCGACATTTTGGACCTTTTGGATTTACCTCGTCTTATTTGTAAACACCCAGACCCAGCAGAGAAGAATTTGTAGGGCCACTGAATTTATTGTTATATATAAGCTAGGATATATATTTATAGATAATATTTTTCCCATTTATTGAGGAGGGTTTGTTGGGAGTATTCCTCTTTTGTCAGGCGTGAACAAGACAAACTTCTACCATGGCACTGGTTATGGAGCCTGTGAGCAAGTGGAGCTCCAGTCAAGTGGTTGACTGGATGAAAGGTAAGGTTTCAGGCACTGTGGTGGCCAAATAGAAACTAAGGGAAATCACCAAACTGTTATAGCTTATTGCAATGACTGTGGTGTTGCATTGTGAGTCGAACATGCCTTTCAGAAGGCTGCACAGATTCACTCGACGTGCCAAAAGAGAACAAAACACCTGCTGAGCCTCATCGGCGTGCGGCTTCCAAAGGGTTTTAAATACTACAGCCTTAAATCATTTGTTCGATTTATTTCCCAGGCAGTTACAACGTGGAGACGCCTGATCTCAACAGCTCGATACAATTAAATAGCACAAAACCGGTTCAAACCTTCATTGTGTACTGGGGTGGTTATTGTTAGGCCTGGGAACATTTTGGACAACCTATAATTATACAAACAATCACCGGATCTGGTGTCAGAATCTTAAAATGCTTAGGTTATCGATCAGTGTTTATATGCGCAATATACAAAACAAGAGCCGTCACAGCAGCAGTGTGTGCAGCCATCTGTGCGAGATGCTCCAAGTCATTAAGAAGTCACAGCTCACTTGGAAAAGCATCACGTACTAGACTAGATTAAATAGTTTTAAAATCTAGTGAAGCCTAAGGTGAGGCTCATGCATTAGGATTAGCTCATAAATCAGACATTTATTCAAACATATTAGCGTGAATCTTCAGATTTTTCAAAACATCCAGCAGAAGGTTCAAGTTTGATAATCAAGCACCCTCAGGGCCAGACAGCATCAAGAGCGAAAGTAATGTTTGTGCTGTAATTAATGGTGGTGTGGGCATTTAGCTCAAGCCCTAAGTTAAAGTGTTTAATATACTAAAATGAATTAGTCATCCACAGGATTTGGATGAGAAGTTCCTCAGAGGAACGCTGTCCGCTCAGTCAGTCTCCACAGACCTGTCAGTGGCCCACACAGGTCCATTAGGGAACTTTCAGTGCACAGATTACTCATTAGATTTGATGCTTTGTGTCTGTTTGCGTTAGAAATTTATTACCACATGCAAATATGTACAAAGTGTAAGAGGAGAATCAACACAGGAGGCTATCCAGGTCTGTGTATTTGTCTGTTAGCACTGTAATTGTTTCAATATTGTGTATTGATTTGCAGGGCTACTTGCTCAGGCCACAGCGCCTCAGAGATGCTCTGGATAAAACATACACACACATACACCGCGGCAATACTGCTATGAATATACACATGCACGCACTTGGACAAAATTCTAAGCTTATATAAGCCCTTTTTGAGATAATTTCAAGATATGTAACAAAAAATGCTTTGAAAAGAACTGCCAACCCTACCTCTAAGCTGAGATCTAAGATGATCTTTAAGGTGATGTTATACGTGAGAAATGCAGAAGAGAAGTGGAGAAGGGATGGGAAAGAGAGATCTCTTCAGTTTTTCACATCTGACAAGTGGAGCAGACATGATTCTTGTACCCAGAGCCCAGTAATGGTAGTTTAAAGTGAGGCACTGAGAGACACAGAGCCCCCTTCAGAGTTCGTTCTGGTCTCACATCCATTCTCAGCTCCTGAGGTCCGGCAGCATTTTGTCATTAGCATTCACAGCTCCATTATTAGGATGCTGCTCTATGATGTCACAGGAGGTCAAGTAGGGACACCCAGTGACCTTCCCACAGTCCCTTTCTCCACCCCCCGTTAGTGTTTTGTTTGAGCAAGACTTTCTTTTCCAAGCTCACAAAAGAGAAAAGAATTCCACCTTTGAGGGGACATTTGTTCTTGATAGGGGCATGGTAAAATAACATGGGCATTTTCATTATTGTTTTTTAGACTTGAGTGTTTTGAGGCACAGACCTAATGCAGGTTTAGTATAATCTCTTTACTCGTCCTGACAGTGTGCATTAACATAATTCATGGCTTGTGAACCAAATCAGTTTTGTCTTTGTACTCTTTTACTGTCTTCTTGTATGAAACACACAGACAGTGATCAGTGATAAATCAGGTTAACACAAATTCATTGTAACAACACTGACACTACCTCAGTGGACTGTGAAGAATGGAGATCGGGATATGTCAGTGGTGGTAATCTGTCTTGTTCAGAAAACGCATGTATGTTCCTGACGATAATCAGTGAACTATATACCTGATACTCCTTTCAAAAGAGGATGAGTATAAAACAACATATAGCAATTCATTTTTAGAGAGGAAAACCACAAAACTTTAGCATTAATAAAAAGTATTAGCCTTTCGCCAACCCGTTGTCTTGGGTTCTACCTTTGTTATCCCTGTCCTCCGTTAGTCTCACTTTTTGTGTCACTGTGCGGTGTGTGATTTAACACTCCCATTTCAAACATACCAGTGACCTTTATTTATACAGCACATGCCGAAATAGTGTAACATGATGTTTTACAATGACATTTAAAAATGTAAGGGCTCACTGGAGTTTTTGAATTATTACTAGTGAAATCAGCAGTTACACGGCACCACGGTGGCACAATGGTTAGCACCGTTGCCTCACAGCAAGAAGGCTCCGGGTTCGGGCCCCACCCGGGACCTTTCTGTGTGGAGTTTGCATGTTCTCCCCGTGCTTGCGTGGGTTCTCTCCGGGTACTCCGGCTTCCTCCCACAGTTCAAAGACATGCAGCTTAGGTTGATTGGTGTCTCTAAATTGCCCATAGGACTGTGTGTGTGTGGTTGTTTGTCTATGTGTTAGCCCTGCGATGGATTGGCGACCTGTCCAGGGTGTCCCCTGCCTTTGCCCGATTGCCGGCCTGGTTTGGCTCTGCCCCAGTAGAAAATGAATGAAATCAGCAGTTAAGTATATTAGCTAGATGTCTTGTACTTTTACCACTTTTGGGAAAGCGTCATCTCTTCGCCTCACTTATTTGTTTATTTTGCCCTGTGGTCGGGAAAATCCCTGCTAAAACCTTCCTTCATGGTTTCTGTGGCAACGTGGGAAAAACTTCACTGACATAATGAGTCTCACCTAACTCAGTAAAGAGGCTGATTAGTTAAGCCTTTACATTTGATGCAAAACCATGAAACTCTCTATGTTTCCTTTCCACCATTTGGCTGCCAGCTAAACCCGAAGTGAATCTTTGATCAGGTTTAGGTACAGCACTGAGCCACAGCGATGAAAAGACGAGAAGGACAACAGCTGTGTCTGTGCAGGTTCCTCTCTCTGCGAAGATGGAAACTGCCTGAATATATAGAAAAGGCCTCACTTTCTGACTGACATGCAGCTATGATATAAAAAACCTAACTTTTCAAGCCACCTAGTGTGTTTGCTTGATATGGATGTGGATTAAACTAAATCTAGAGTCGATATGTTTGGGGAAAAACCTGGTTTATCCTGTTGCTTCTGCACTCCACAGTTTGAGATTTGTAATAAAAAATGATGTGGTTAAAGTGAACATACTCAGATTTTATTAAACGATCTTTTTCTACATGTCAATGTCTCCAATGTCCCCCTGTTTCAGTGCATCATTATGTTTGGGACATGACAATATTGTGTAAATGAAAGTAGCTGTGTTAGTACTTTGTTAATCTTCCTTTGCATACAATGAGGGCTTGAAGCCTGCGATTCATAGACGTCACCAGATGCTGGGTATCTTTTCTGGTGATGCTCTACCAGGCTGCTGTCATCTTTGGCTCATGCTTGTTTTAGCCTGAAGACAACAAGTGTCTTGTATGTTTTGAAATATAGGGAGGATATTATGGCAAAGTTTGAAAATGTTGCCTGTTCATGGAAGCAGCAGCATTAGTGGTGGCTTATAAGTTCATGTGGGGCACTTTGGTGCCTGACACAAATAACTAAAAGAACTATGAACTATGAGGCAACTGCAACATTAAATGCATCACAATGCAGAGTAATGCATCAGCAATTGTAATTCAGTAATATAATATATACATCTACTGTACTATTCTGCATAATGAATACTTTTACTTTAATAATAATAAATAATATAATCATCTTTATTTATAGTGCACTTTTCAAAATCTGCATTACAAAGTACATTACAAGGCAGAAAAAAATCCATTTAAAAGAATTTAAATAAAATCAGGAAAGGCTTTCTTATAAAAATATGTTTTAAGAAGGGATTTAAAAACAGTTAATGAATGTACTTGCCTGATTTCCTCAGCCAAGGCGTTTGAAAGCTTCAGGGCTCTGACTGCAAAGTCCTGTCCTCTTTAGTTTTCAGCCGGACCCTTGGATCAGACAAAAGGCCTTTGTCTGAGGATCTCAAAGTTTGCACAGACACATATGGGGGCGGCTGTGGCTCAGGAGGTAGAGCGGGTCGTTTCCTAACCGGAGGATTAGCGGTTTGATTCCGGGCTTGTCCAGTCAACATGTCAAAGTGTCCTTGAGCAAGACACTGAACCCCCAGTTGCTCCTGGTGATGTCACTGGTGTGTGAATGTGTGAGCGTTTGGGAGTGCGAATGGGTGAATGGCTGAGTAGTGTGAAAGCGCTTTGAGTGTGCTGTAAAAGCATAGAAAGGCGCTATACAAGTATAAGACCATTTACCATATGGTACTAAAGGGTTGGAAATGTAGCTAGGGAAGAGGCCATGCAGGGCCTTAAATATCATTAATAAAACTGTAAAATTGATTCTAAAACATACTGGGAGCCAGTGCAAAAAAGGCTAAAACAGGAGTGATATGTGATGACATCTCCTAGTTCTGGATAAAAGCCTAGCAGCTGGACAGACTGGAGTCAAAGAATGGATTTTGGGCTTAGACAGGTGAAAAAGCTAATGCAGTAGGCGTGATGAGATAAAAGCATGTAAAATAGGAAACATTTTACATCAAATATATTTTGCTGCTAATGCCTTTGTACTCAGCATGGCGCAGCTGGGGCCCCACCCTGGAGCCAGGCCCAGGGGTGGGGCTCG